CCAAGAACGAACTAGTGGTTAGTAAAGGGAAGGGGTGGGAAGGGAGGGAGAAGGGGATTAAGGGGCATTATAATTAGCATACATAATGTATGGGGGGGGTCACAGGGAAGACAGTATAGCACAGAGAAGACAAGTAGTGACTCTATAGCATCTTACTACACTGATGGACAGTGACTGCAATGGGGGGGATCTCGATAATATGGGTGAATGTAATAATCACAATGTTGCTCATGTGAAGCCTTCATAAGATTGTATATCAGTGATACCTTAAAAAAATAGATACACACGCACACTCACACACAAACATGCACAGTCTTCAGCTTCTGAATGCTGAAAAGGCTTAGACTCAAACATTGAGTATATTACTGAAGTAGAAAGTGCTTTTTATGTCTTTGCACATATATACTATTGTTTAGTAAAAAAATATATATATATATAGAGAGAGAGACTTCCTTTTTTCCTGAGAATCTGTCATTAAACTTGTGATATTTTATAATTGTCTCTGTATCAAGGAAAAGTGATATTTGAAGTACTAAATAATGATAAATTACTTGATAAAATGAGACACTTTATCTTAAAGTAGGTGTCTTTGAGAAATATACCTTCATAATAGTGCTGCAAAATTGTGGTTCATTATCTTAATTTGAACTAACTATGGATTGTGTACACACACATATTTGTTTAAAAAATCTGTACATATACTTAAATATGCTAAAGAAAAAAATCAGAAATAATTAGGATTATTAACCATCCCAATTTGGCCTGAGCTTCCCTAAACATCCCATATACTAGGAAACTCCTCAGTCCTGAGCAAACCAGCATGGTTGGCTACCCTAAAAATGAGCAACCCGAATTGTTGATGCAGTACTTCTGTTAGTGGAATTTAGAGGAGGTAGGTTGTAAAAAAGAATTTTCACTTTCTTTTTTGGCTGAAGTATCCTTGGCATACAATATATATTTTTTAATTTAAGTATCATTGATGCAGAATCTTATAATGGTTTTATACAAGCAACTGTGGTTTCAACATTCACCCATATTATCAAGTCCTCTTCCCCACTATTGTGGTCACTATCACCATAGTAAGATGCTATAGAGTTATTACTTGTCTCTCTGTGCTGTCCTGCCTTACCATGACCTACCTCTAGTGTGATTTCTAATTATAGTGCCCCTTAGTCCCCTTCTCTCTCCATCCCCACCCACCTTCTCCAACCCCTTCTGCTAGTTTCTTTTTGGAATTTGTGTGTCTGCTGCTGTTTTGTTCCTTCAGTTTTGCTTTGTTTTTATACTCCACAAATGAGGGAAATCATTTGGTATTTGTCTTTCTCCACCTGATTTACTTCACTGAGCATAATACCCTCTAGATCCATCCACATTGTTGCAAATGGTAGGATTTGTTTTGTTCTTATGGCTGAATAACATTCTATTGTGTACATGTACCACCTCTTCTTTATCCATTCATCTTCTGCTGGACACTTAGGTTGCTTCCATTTCTTGGCTATTGTAAATAGTGCAGTGATAAACATAGGGGTGCATATATCTTTTTGAATCTGGGATCTTGTTTTCTTTGAGTAAATTCCTAGGAGTTGAATTTCTGGGTCACATGGTATTTCTGTTTTTAGTTTTTTGAGGAACCTTCCTACTGTTTCTGTAATGGTTGAACTAATTTACTTTCCCACCAATGGTGTAGAAGGATTCCCCTTTCTTTGCATCTTTGCTAGTGTTTGTCTTGCTTGTATTTTGGATGTTGGCCATCCTAACTGGTGTGAGGTGATATCTTATTGTGCTTTTAATTTGCATTTCCCTGATAATTAGTGATGTGGAGCATCTTTTCATGTGACTGTTTGCCATCTGATTTCTTCTTTGGAGAATTGTTTCTTCAGATCCTCTGCCCATTTTTTAATCAGATCATTTGCTTTTTGGGTGTTGAGGCATGTGAATTCTTTATATATTTTGGATGTTAACCTTTATCACATAGGTCATTTACGAATATATTCCCCCATACTGTAGGATGCCTTTTTATTCTACTGATGGTGTCCTTTGCTGTATAGAAGCTTTTTAGTTTGATGTTGTCCCACTTGTTCATTTTTGCTTTTGTTTCCCTTGCCTGAGGAAATGTGTTCAGGAAAAAGTTGCTCATGTTTATATTCAAGAGATTTTTGCCTATGTTTCCTTCTACGAGTTTTATGGTTTTATGACTTACATTAAGGTCTTTGATCCCATTTCAAGTTAACATGTATATGGAGTTAGACAATAATCCAAATTCATTCTCTTACATGTAGCTGTCTGGTTTTGCCAACACCAGTTGTTAAAGAGGCCATCTTTTCCCCATTGTATACACATGGCTCTTTTATCATACATTAGTTGACCACATATGTGTGGGTTTAAATCTGGGCTTTCTCTTCTGTTTTATTGATTTATAGGTCTGTTCTTATGCTAGTACCAAATTGTTTTGATTACTGTGGCTTTGTAGTAGAGCTTGAAGTTAGGGAGTGCAATCCCCGCAGCTTTTCTCAGAATTGCTTTGGCTATTTGGGATCTTTTATGGTTCCTTATGAATTTTAGAACTATTTGTTCTAGTTTGTTGGAGAATGCTGTTGGTATTTTGATAGGGATTGCACTGAATCTGTAAATTGCTTTGGGCAGGATGGCCATTTTGACAATATTGATTTTTTCTATTCATGAGCATGGAATAGATTTCCATTTTTTGGTGTCCAATTTCTCACATGAAGGTCTGATAGTTTTCAGAGTATAGGTCTTTCACCTCCTTGGTTAGGTTTATTTCTGAGTATTTTATTCTTTTTGATGCAATTGTAAATGGAGTTGTTTTCCTGATTTCTCTTTCTTTTATTTCATTGTTAGTATATAGGAATACAGCAGATATCTGTGTTTTAATTTTGTATCCTGTAACTTTACTGAATTCAGTTATTAGTTTTAATAGTTTTTTTGGTGGAGTCTTTAGGGTTTTCTATGCATAAATCATGTCATCTTCAAACAGTGAGAGTATATCTTCTTCCTTACCAGTTTGGATGCCTGTTATCTCTTTGTGTTATCTGATTGCTGTGGATAGGACCTCCAGTACTATGTTGAATAAAAGTGGGGAGTGTTTACATCCTTGTCTTGTTCCAAATCTTAGAGGGAAAGCTTTTTGCTTTTTGCTATTAAGTATGATATTGGCTGTCAGTTTGCTGTAAATGGCCTTTATTATGTGTGGTATGTACCCTCTATACCCATTTTGTTGGGAGTTTTTATCATAAATGGATGTTGAATTTCGTCAAATGCTTTTTCAGCATCTATTGAGATGGTTGTGTGGGTTTTATCCTCCTTTTTGTTAATGTGATGTATGATATCATGTTTGTTTTTAAAATAATTTAACATTTCATTCACATTTGATCTGAATGAGTATATAAAAGAATAATGTTCTTTTTATCTGTGAATATGAAACTACTCATGTATATATCTTCTCATATCTGGGGAAAGATTTTGGTTTTTCTGAAAAGAGTGTTGATGATTTAATAAGGAATAGCAGTATCTCCAGTAGTTCTTTTTCAATCTTTTTGATGGAAGCAAACCTTTCCTTCCAAACTGCTATATTGCCTTAATTCTTTTCATGAATATTTGAGTGCCTAATATGTTGCTGTCAGACTTGGTAAACAAAATAGACATGTCTCCCTGCCTTATGGAACTTAGAAATTATGAAGGGAGACAGATATTAGTTAAATATACTTAAAACTGCATATGTGATTTCATAATGTGATACATAATTTGTAGAAAGAACTAGGGATGTCTAACAAGAAAAAGAACAAAAGAGGGAAACAATTTATATCAATTTGATGAAGAAAGCCTCTTTCAAAAAAATGAAACTTTAGGTGTGATATAAACATTGATAGGCTTTAGTCAAATAAAGAGCTGGAGTGTACCTGTTGCTGTTGAAAGTAGCTTCAATGAACTCTGTGTTTGAAGATGAAAGCTTCAACAGATGCATTGTTGAGGTAGACAAGGCTGTTTTGTTCTAATCAGGAAGTCCCTGATGGGTTTAAACCTGGCAGTGACATCCATTTTATATTTTAGAAGTCACTCTGGGCAGTGTTTTGCTAAGTGAATTATATTCATACTTTGGCTAAGTCTGTTTTTTTTCAAATATGAAGAAAGTACAGTATATATTTTTTACTTAAATAAGGCAAATATTGCTTTATAAATAGATTATCACAATTTGGTAAGGTTTATAGTATTTCCATAGTAAAATGTTAAGGTAGTGGTGGGAGAAAGGACTTTGGGGTTCCTTACCACTGTCTGTATACCACAGCTTTTGGAAGAATGGGTGAGTGGTAGAAGAACTGAATTACTCTAGGTCCTAGTCAGCACTTGGACTCTTAGGTTCTAGGCTCAGACAGAGATACAGAATTCTCTAGACTCTAGAAGGCATAGAATATGAAAGAAGATGATGGGAATATAAAACTTACATGTGAATGAAGTTACCTTAATTTAAATTATTATGTAATAACAGTTATTCAAATTATCCCTTGAGTGCAGGCAAATAGCAAGATAGAGATAAAAAGGCCAACAACCTGAATGATTTGCTTATTGTCTTATTGTCTATCTAGTTTTTTCTTTACCTACTTGTCTTTACCTTTGCCTGTGAATATAGTGAAATGCTGAAGTCATGTACAGATTGTGCAAGTAAAATAGTGTTAGAATTTAAATTTTTTAGCCAATTCCTTTCTTTTGGTATATATTAACATATTTTACAAATTCATACTAAAATATAATTAGCTTTCCTTTTGTAAGAACTGGTATTGATTAGCTATGCGATAGGAAAACTGAGGAATATGTCTTGAAAGTAAAAGATAGTGAAAGCTGTTATGGTAGAAAAAATGGTATTTGATATTTAGCAAAGATTTTTCTGACCTTGGTCAGTTTTTGATAGAAAAGTATAGGTAAATAAATATTATAATACATATTGTTCTGTAATGTAATAAAAAATTCAATGTCTGTTTTAACAGGCCAATAGCAGGATATGCTAACCTGTGTCCAAATATGATCTCTACCCAGCCTCAGGAGTTTACTGGGATGCTGTCCACAGTGAAACATGAGATTATTCATGCCCTGGTAAATTTTGCTATCAACCACTGTTCTTTCCTTTGTAACTTGATTTTCTGCGTTTATGCTTTCATTTTGATGTATCTGTTAAATTTTGTATTCTTAGATTTATGTTCAGTAAAACCTAGTTGATTAGGCTTCTGCCAAAAGAGAATTTTTCATGATTAGAATAGTGGCTAAGTTGAGTTACACTACCTAAAATAATTAAACAAGTATAAACCCATGGCAAATAAGATTTTTGAGAAAATTATTTTCTTAAGAAAAGAAGTTATCATTTTTCCTCTAAGATGATAACAAATATGCTAATTATAGATCTTTCTTGTCTCTTACAGAGATTTCATTTCAAAAGTTCTCTTGATCTCCTTTAGCTCTAAAATGTATATATACTAACTGATTGAGAACTTCTTTTTCCCCAATTTGTCCAAAATAGTGAACTCTTATGATATGTCTAGGGAATTAAACAAAGCTGCCTAAAACTCTAGGAAATGTTCTTCTGATGCCATTCATGTATTTAGAAAATAGATCCCAGAGAATGGTAAGAATGAAATGTTTGACAAATGTAGATATTCCTTGTAAAGTTAAATGTTTATAGCTGTCAACTGTAGTCATCCATGGTACTGTGTATACCAGAGAAGCTTTCTGAAATGTGAGTGCTTAGAAAAATTTTAAAGTTCATAGGGTGGTAAAAACTTTGTATTTAGAATATTATAAAGGATGAGGCAAATCATACTATTTTAAGTTTTGTATAACTTCAGTGAATTGTATATTAAAAACTATTTAGATTTTCTTAGCTGACTATTAAATGTCATTTGCATCTTCAGAGATTAAAAAAGAAGAAATACAGGAATAAAAGAATAATCTGGATTCATTCATCATTTTGGTAAACCTTGAATGACAGAGGCCACAGTGATGTAGGCAAAGCAATTAGTCAAAAAAAAAAAGATTAAGTAATCACTTTTAATTGTCAGTTATTTGGATATAAACTATAGCATATTCTCAATGTATAAAACATTCCTAAAGAAGTAGTACAAAAGTGCTTTGTTTTAGTTATTAGATCAGGAAAGAAAGTGAGAAAAGAAATCTCACTGATGGAATAGGAGATAGTAAATGTAAATATTTTTTTTGGCCCATTTTCTCATCTTGTTTGGGAAGGGAGGGATAGAGAATGGAAATTTGAATACTTTTATGCAAAGCATTGATTATCTCATTAAAATTGAAGACATCTTAAAATTATTACTTGAAAACACGATTATAAATATAAAAAATTCACATTATACAAGAAGTTTAGGAATATGAGTTTTACGCATTACCTTACCACCAAAAGAACCACAATTAACATTTTGATACATATGTTTCCATTCTTTTTTCCTAAGTGTATACACACACACACACACACACACACACACACACACACACACACATTCCCAGTCATTTTTTTTTTTCTCAGTGTGGATATACATTAAATGGGGACTTTGGGATCAAAGACTGAATTTTTATAAGTGCATAAGTACTCTTAGGAGTGTACTTGACTACCCACCCCCCTACTCTAAACTGTACTTTTAATTGTTCTCAATAATAACATTCCCTGGATGCACTTGTAAGTTTACTGAGTTCGTGGGAAGAGGATGGTAAGAATTAAATGTTTACATTCTTAAATACGTTCTTAAACAAATAAATGTATTGTCTATACCACTATCAAGAATGTCTTTGTTACTTTTGGTTGCCTTACTTACAGTTACCTCACATAATTGGAATTTAAAATTCAGAATATGGAATATGTAATTTTTGTCCAATTCCAATCTATGGCAAGTTCCTGTATAAGTACTGGCATATGGTACCTTTTTACAGTTATATCAGCCTTCTCTTCTACTAGTGGCATATTATGACATCTATGATCAGACTTGATCTTTTTCACCTTAAGATAGTTTGAACTTTTTCTTACAGGGTTTCTCTGCTGGGCTGTTTGCATTCTACCATGATATAGATGGAAATCCTCTAACTTCAAGATTTGCAGATGGTCTCCCACCTTTTAATTATAGGTATTTGTTATTTTTGTTCTTGTTCTTCTTTACTGGAGGATACTACGACTAAGATTTGAGAATCATAGGTTGTTAGATGTTAATGGCTTAATAGGTAGCCTAAGAAAATTATAGCTATTAAAACAGGATATAACAGATCATTTAGCTTTACACCTTAATTTTACAGATGAGGCAACTGAGATGCAGAAAGCTTAAAAGACTTATCCAAAGAGCCAGGACTATTCTTGCCAGGCAGAGCTCTTTTCTACCACATTGTAACATTGTACTTTATAATAGGCCATGGGAAAATGTGAGTTGGTTATTTTTGGTTTATTAATGATTATTGCCTGGACATGGCACTATTTACGTGTTAACTGATATTTTATTTAGTACAGCATACTAGCAGTGATCTAGAGGTTCAGGGCCTAAAAAAAAATCAAATACACACTAAAAAATTTTATTGATATTTGTATATAGAGTATTAGTCACATAACTATTGCATGCATTTTATAAAAATAAATCTCTAAATTAAGAGCACATGTTCACAAAAAGATGGGTACAAAAATGTTCATGACAATTTTGTTAAAAGTAGCCAAAAAATGGAAACCACCCAAAGGTCTATTAATAGAATGGATAAATCAATTGTGATATATTCCTGAAAACTATGAGGTACTGAAAAGAACACACTGTTTGCTATGTGCAATAGCATATATGAATATCATACATATAATGTTGAACAAAACAAGTCAGATAGTCCATTTGTATGGTGTTTAAAAATAGGCCATGATAAAAGACTGATTAGTGGATTTAATTAGGGGGGCAGGCTGTTAAATATCATAAAAGCTGAGTATAGATTGGGAAGGGACATGAGGGAACTTTCTAGGGGTGCTGACACTGTACCATATCTTTATCAGCATATTGTAAATGGATATAAAGTAATTAATCCTTACACTTACAAATTGTTCACTTTATGTATATTTATTTTAATTCCAAAAATCTCTATTAAGATAGCTAGAATTAAATAAATATTGAAGCAGATATTTTATTCATATTTTTTAGAGTACATGTATACCATTTCTTCATATGTACTCTATAAACACTATTTTTCCTTTTCTAATGACTTGTAAGAGTTCTTTATAAATTAGGGATATTAATCCTTTTTCATGTTTGTTACAAATAATTCTTCCATTTAATTACCTTTATTTCATTTATCATATTTTTTGCCATGCAGAAATTTTTTTTTGAGAGGGCATCTCTCATATTTATTGATCAAATGGTTGTTAACAACAATAAAATTCTGTATAGGGGGGTCAATGCTCAATGCACAATCATTAATCCATCTCGAGCCTAGTTCTCGTCAGTCTCCAATCTTCTGAAGCATA